CCCGCCCGCCGCTCACCTGCGCAGGCTTTAGTAAGTGATCCTCCGCGGCTCTTCCCGCCCCTGTCCCGGGGAGATGCCGAGGTGCCCGCCGAGCGCCCCGCCCCCTCCCCCGGGCGGGCGCATCGCCGTCCCTCAGGCGCCCCGCGGCCCCTCAGGCGCCCCGCGGTCCTGGCTGCTCTTTCCCCGTGCCTCTCGTCGCTGACGGATCGCGCCAAGGCGCTGCGTCCGGAGGTGCTGGTGGCTCCGGGGGCCTCAGGCGACTCCGGTGCCCGCCCAGCCCGCGCTCCCCGCCCGGGGTTCCCGCCGGTGCCCGCGAGCCGCGGCCGGGGCGGTGCCGTGTTGTTTCCCGGCGCCTGAAGGGAGCACCACCGCTCCGGCGCGCGGGCAGCTCCCGGCTGGTTAGCTGTGGGTGAGCCCTTCCCGGGTGCCTGCCGCCGCTCCCCTTCCTCACCTGTGGGAACGAGCGTCTCCGGGACCCCGGTGCCGTCCGCAACTGCTGGCTGCTCTTCGGGGCGGTGTGGCGGAGGCTGCCCTTGCCTGTCACGGACATTTTGCTTTTCCTTCTAACTTAAATATCGTTAACGATGCTGAATTCTCATTATGCCACCTAGTAAGAATACTATGTTTTTTTTCCTGCAGTGGACCGCAGTTCGAAGAGGAGACAAGTGAAGCCTTTGGCAGCTTCGCTGCTGGAAGCTTTAGATTATGATAGCTCTGATGACAGTGATTTTAAAGTTGGAGATGCTTCAGGTAAATATGCTTCCTCATCTCCCCTCTTCAGAATGATCTCATTTTTGTTTTATGGCTGCTCATTTAATATCATATGGGAGACAGAATGGTATTAGTGAACTGTTGGGACTTGGAGCCACTTGAAGTTCAGTGACTCGATTGGATAACTGGAAATTCTTATGCTGCGGATAAGAATCAACTGATTAAACAAAACATCCATACAATAATTCAATTGCAAATATTTTTTTCTCAACAGAAAACTCATGATTATCAAACAAGTTTTGGCAGAAGCATTTGAGTAGCTTCTGTGCTGACTACTTTAGCTATATCTGTTGCTTTTTATTTTTTCAATGTAGAGATAATTTTTGAAATATTTGCTGCATTTAGTATTGAAACAAGAATGTTCTAAAGCCATTTTTGAATCAGTCTGGGTAATCGTTTGTTGTGGACTTAAGAACTTGACTATTTCTCAAGGTTAATTCCACTCGGTGAGTGAAAACCTTAAGCAGAAAGATTCTGTTCAAGTTTCTTTTTTTACAATAGACAAGGTGTCCATTCAGATAGCTATGCAGAAAGGTGTATGCATTTCATACTAGAAGGAGGTCCTTGCCTCAGAGTGGTTTTGTTCTGCAGTCTTTTCTATCTGTGCAGATTCTTGTATCTGCAGTGAACATCCACGGAAACTGAAAGTAAACAGGGTCCCAAAATAAAATGAATAAATTCAAGTATATTGGAGGGAAGGGAAAGAAGAGGCAGGACCATGTTTGTGAATAAACTGCATATTGGATGTTCTGTGGCATATGCTCAGGGAAATAAGCAAAGAGGTGCAGGATGTGTAAGATGTAACGTAAGCATTATGACAGCTTGTCAAATAACTTCACTTCGTTATTTCTGCACTGGGGCTGCTGATCCATGTTTTCATGTGAATGTGTCTTGCAAAAATATTCCCCATCTCCATTTAAAGGCTTATTTTTTAACATCTGGCAAGCTCCTCCTTATTAATGAACTTAAAAATGCTTAATGATCATTTCACCAGTGCCAGTTTTAAGATATGCCCTAATGCTCCTTGTTTTTTTTTCCCCAAGCTTAGACATATTTCCCTTGGTTGATCTCATAGAAGCAGGCTGCAATGACTTAAGAGAGTAAAACTGATGCCATCTTACCAATTTCATGCTAAGATTTTGGGGGGCTTGCTTCATTTACTTTTTTAATCTTGTTTTGAGGATTTTTGATCCTTTCTTTTGAGTAAAGGCACTGCCTTTTGTAGAGACAATTTGCCATAAAAGGAAATGATTTTTAGTTTCCAGAGAAAATCTCCCTATTCTGGAACAGTAGTGTAGGCAGGATTTAAGGGAAAAGAAGAATTGGAAATGGGGTAAGGGAGATGGACACATAATCCAGAGCAATATATTATTTGATTAAAAGACGATCATTAGTTAATTAAAAATAATGAATAAAGAGTCCTGACTCAACTATGTCTAAATGCAGAGGATTAATTTGTAATTGATACCCTCTTTGACTTTTAGGATATCGTATGTACACATGGGGGGTGTCAGTGTCTAGCCTTGAGAGTATTTCAATCTCAATTTCATTTTGAGGAAGTTGGATGTGCTTTGCCTTATAAAAGCAACACTGAATTGAAACAAGCATATGAGAAAAACCCAAGTTCTACTTACAAATGTTTTTCTCATTACTTTTTTGTGTTCATATATCTCATATAGCTTTGTTTTAACATTTCAGAACCTATATCTGTCACTTGTAGAAATTAACGTTCTGTTTAATAAAATTTAGTGAAAACACTTTGAAACAGCAACAGAGTTTGACATTTTACACTTTATTCAAAGATTTTCAATGTGAAAGGAGAATGTTATGAGGGTTTGGAGAAGCTGGGGAATAGAGAGTTATTAAACATACAACCTCTTAAGTTGAAAGAAAAAAAGAAACATTTCTTACATGTAATACAAGTTAAAGGGATAGTTGAAAGAGGACATCTGTGCTGATTTAAAATGAAGCTGGTATAACATAGCCTTAAATTTGGCTGTACCTAGTCCATTTAGATTCGTTTGGAAGAAGTGCTAAAATAAAGGGACTTTTTTACAGCACACATATATTAATAAAATCGATAAAAGTTATATATTTATAAAGAATACATGTGTACACACACAATCAGCCCTACTATACAAATTCTGGATTGTTACTAACAGAAAATAGATTTTGCTGTTTTTCACTGAGGATTCAGCTTTCACAGCATAATGTGTGTTTCTCCATTACAGTCAAGCGTATTGCTCTTTTTCTTGTTTCAATGACTGTAGAGTTCTCTCTACGTGCAGCCTGTTGCAAATCAGTGTTTAGTATTTGTTTGAATTCAGAATTTTATTGCACAGTTTGCTTACAAAGGGAAATAAATGTGACAGAAGGAAGGAACAATCTTTCTACATTGATAATGACCATAAATTCTACTCATGCACTCAGGAAAATCCTGTAAGTATGGTAATTCCACAGCTCTGCAATGTATGTTTATTTGAATCAAATGCACATATAGGTGTTTAGAAAAATAAATCAAATTTGAAAGTTAAAAGTTAAAGGACTATTTAAATACTGAATTAATAAAATTCTGAAGTTGTTTACTCCCTGTTGATTATGTTGCATCCATATGTATGAGCTTTAGGTTGTTAAGTGGTATGTGCTAGTATACGACACTGTGCAAGTCTAGGAGGACTGAGCCCTGAACATTTGCGCTTTTACACGTTCATTGTTCTGTCAGATTTCTGGGAGTATGAGATGCAGTAAGGATTTGAGAAGTTGGTATTAAGTACTTTTATGAAAGAATCGGCATTTCTGAATTTTTGTGTTCAGAGTCCTGATGCCTTGGTAAATTTTTTTCATTACAGAAAATATTTCTAATCACCTAACCTCCATTTCCACCAAAAAAAATCCATAGAAGATGTGGACTTTACTTACAGTGTAGTTAATTTCTTTTCTTTTGGATTTAGATCACACCAACAGGCAATTACTGCCTTTTCCACTTTAAAGAGCTCATCATTCTGACATCTCTTTAGGGAAACTGATGTTAGAACTGTTATATTCTTGTAAATTTACTTAATGTAAATAGTTTTCAGGCCTGTGGGCTTTTCATTATGTTGATATTGAACGAAGTAATTTTTTAATGGCTTCCCTGTTTCTACGTAATAGAAAGTAGTAATGCTATATTTTAAAGTACTGTATTTTTCTGTCTTTTATAAACGTCTTGAAAAATTTCTTTCTTAAGTAAGAATGTCATATGTAATCTTAATGTGGAATCAGTCAAAAAAACTGTCCCTTTGGAGTCAGAGTGTACAAATATGTGAGTTGAAATGATGGTACTGTAATATACTCAACTGAAGTTTTTCAATAATATGCTTCACAATACAGATCAGTTATTTGAAGTTTTGCTTTTAAGTTAACTAGAGCATACTTTGTTTTTTCTGTTGGTGTTTTTTTTTCTTAATTTTTTTTTTTTTAGTTTAATGAGAGCAGCTGGAGATATACTGATGTCAGAAATCAGTGTATAGTTGTAGAGTAATTCCCAGCAGGATTCCAAAGCAAGAATTTACCACTTTTCTTCTCTCTCATCAGTGAAGTTGGTCAGTTTTGGCAGCTCATATACTGAAATTGAAATGATGCAGAGAAGTGTAGTGTGGTCCCTCAACAAGAACAATGTGTGAATTTAAGGACTGGCTCTGTGTCTCAGTGTAGCTAAGAAGAGCATAGCTGAATGCTGTCTTGAAGAACGGGATTCTGTCACTACTTCTGCTGCAAGTCTCCTAGACTCAAATTTTTAGAGGCATTTGTAAATGTTTGGTTTTTTGGTGTTGAGCGTGAAGCCTGACTTGCATAAATACTATGTACTATTATTGCAATTGAGGTCAGTAGGAGCTCTGTTGAAAATGTGTAATGATCTATATAAATGCATATATTAGGTCTTCTGAAAAACCTGTGACTTGATCTAGAAATAAAAATTTGCAAATATCTTTATCTTTCTGTAATTCGTTTACTTTTAGCACAATGGAGATTCCACTTTTGCTTTCCCGTACAGGATATTGTAATATAAAGAAATGTTTGCAAAGCACCAAAATACTGTAGTGATAAACACTACTGAAATATCGATGAAGAAGCTAATATGTTTGTTTTTGAGAATAAACTTAAATGATGTGCAACAGAAAAGTTGTAGGGTGTTTCAGTAGACAATGAAGGTAAGAGAAAATATTGAATAGCTCATCATTAGTAAATTATCATGTAATTGCACAATCTTAATTGTTACAATCATTTCAAGGTTTGACTTTGCAACTGTAATGTGTAGTCAGAGTGGAACTCCCAAGCGCTTTTTCCCATTGAGAGAATGGAAAATATGAGCATTATATTCTCTTGGTTATCTTCATCCCAAGTGAGATCTTTTATCTGTACAGATGTCTGCCACTTGAAGTAACACTTTGGAGTGACTGATGAGCATTTTGAACTTGCATTCTCTTTGAAAACACTGAGACTTATGTTCTTCTGTGTGTTTACTGACAGCAGAGAAGTAATGTGGCAGAAGTCTAGGCTTTCATTCCAGTGTTTGGGCAGGGTGGATTTAGTGATGGGGTGACATTATTTTACTTTGTTTTCCCCATACTGGGACTCTTTGTGCCTCATCTTTCCAACCTGTCTGTCGCTTACAGAACCCTTGCTCATTGTTTCAGTGTTGTTCTGCCTGTTCAGTCATTCTTGAACAGGATTTTCATGATCTCCTACTTTACTACTCCTACTTTACTTTCTCTTGCATCTCCTCTTTTTTGTGTGTGTGTCCGTCTCTTGTGTATTTCCTGCCACATGGAGAAGGTTCTTCTGTGCTTTGTTAAGTCCAGCTTGGTGGGATGGTCTGTTTGCAGCCTGGCCACCTCTGGGAGTCGTAGACATGCTCAGTGAGGATGGAATGTTTCAAGTGTTTCTTGAGCATGTACTTGTTACAGTGCCTCAGAGACTTAGACTTAGCATGTCCCAGG